TAGATAGAAAAAAGAATTGGCTCTTTCAATAGGATTACTAGAACAAAAGTCACTGGGGCATATGCTGATCAAGTTGAGAAGCCAAATAAGGATATCCCTCTAGATTATCTTATCACCTGCTAGAGAAATCTGGCATATGATATAGGAAATTATCAATCTTCAGGGTTCAATGAAGTAAGAAAACAAGGAGAAGAGAGAGGGGTTAGAGGAAATGGGGGAGAGACAGAAAAGGAAAAAATAAACCAAAATCAGACCAGCAAACCCCAACAACGACTTAGGTATTATCTAGGATTTAAAATACTAGATGGGAATTAATTGAAGGAATTAATTGGCTTTGGAAACCATCTCTGCCAATTTCACATTAATAATTATAGTGGGTATACTGACTCCATATACACCAGTTCCCAATTCAAATGCAAACACAAGCATCATATCCAGAGATAAGCAGGCAAGGGGAAATGTGCTTTCCATTAAAAAAAATAAGTGAGGTAAAGGGCATGCTAATTAGCTTGATTTGGTCTTTTACAATATATGTGTGTATCAAAACATTGTGTTGCACAAACTTAGACAATTTCTATTTTTCAATTTAAAAAAAGCACAAAGGGAACAGTTGAATTTCTAAATTACCAGAAGTCAAAGGATCTAAAGTTAAATCAGATTTGGTGAGCGAGAACCATAAATTGATTTTAATTCTAAAATGGAACCAAAAGCCCACTTATAACGCCCAAGGCTAAGTGACAGTCCACAACTATCTTCAAATAATAATGACATTGAAAACCATAAATGTATCAGTTATGTTGATTGCCTTTCTTCCATTTCTAGGCTCTGCTCTAAGTACTTTCTCATAGAAACGGGAATCCTCACAATACACTCAAGGTAAGGGCCTTCAAAACCAAACAAAAATTAAAACTAATAGTTACTAAAGGAAGAACCCCAGGCACGAAGAAGTTGAGTCACTTTCACAAAATCACAAAACATAGAAAACAGAAAAAATAGAAGCTGAAGTTCAGTTATGAGGCTCTAAGGCAGTAAGTAATCCTATTGAAGTGACGACCATCACAGTGAAACTTTTCAACTCTTATAAGGTAACTTGATGATGCTTTGATTAAAAAAAAAATTTTTTTTAAAGTCCTGGTTCAGGGTTATTTTTAGAATAAAACTTTAAAAAAGAGGTTCCTAGCACTCTCCCAAGAGAAACCATCTCTATCCTTCCTGGATCATTCTTCCTCTCCCATCTGACTCTTAGGATGAGCACACAGCATGATGGAAAGAAATTGAGTTCTCAGTAGTTGACAATAGATGATTATGACAGATGTTCAATAAGTGCTCACTTAGAATTTGTCTGAACGAAAGGGAAAACCTGATCATCTGCAGAAAAGAGTGATTAAGTAATGAATTCCCATTCCACACCTTGTGACTACAAGAATCAGGTCCTGAAAGGAAACACTCTGTCTCCAGAGTAAGTACAGATGACCCACGCAGAGCCCAGTCTGTCCAGCAGTCCCTTCAGAACCTTGCTTTTCTTTCCTTTCAGCTCCATCCTTCCTCCACTGGGAACGGGAACTAGGCAGTGGTCTCAAAGGAAGGGAACAGGTCATGAATGATTGCAGTCCCTTTCTAGCAGGTGGGGTTCCCCCCCCCTTTGGTACTGTGGATTGAACCTAGGGGCACTAAACCACTGAGCCACAACCCCAGACCTTTTTATTTTTTTATGAGACAGGGTCTCCTAGGGCCTCCCTAAGTTGTTGAAGCTGGCTTTGAACATATGATCTTCCTGCCTCAGCCTCCTGAATTGCTGGGATTACAGGAATGTACCACTGCACCTGGCTTTTCAGTGGTCTTTACTGCACCCCGACACCTTCCCAGCTCCTGCCTCAGAGATGGAGAGGAAGCTGACATGGGAATGTAAAATCTTCTATTCTGTCCTCAGTCCTCTCCTTCTTAGGAAGGTGTGAAATTGGCTGTTTGTCAATCATAGTGCACAGTTGGATTCTGGCTATATTCTATCACAGGGAAAGGGGAAGAAAACTTGAAAATTAAATTGAATGAGAAGTCTCTCCCTTGGGGCAGGAAAGGTACTTCTAATTGACTTCTCACTGGAGTGAAGGTTCATTTGTAGGCCCAAGCCTTACCCCCCTACAGAAGGAAATGAGAATGTAGGCCACAGGCCACCCAAGTCACAAATAAGAAACACACAGAGATAACCAGTAGTCCGGCCCCTGGCATATGCCTATAATCCCAGCAACTCAGGAAGCTGAGGCAGGGGGATTGCAACTTAGCAACACCCTGTCTCAACAATGAAAAAAGGGGTAGATGTGGGCCTGGGGATGTAGCTCAGTGGTAGAGGTTCAGTCCCCAGTAAAATAAAAACATAAAAATAAAAATGTATTTGCTAGCAGCCTGCTAATGAGACACACCACAAGCCCAACTCTTGAAGTATGAAGTTTTAATTTCCAAGAGGTTTTAAACTCATTTATTCTGAGGTTCTCATGATGGCCACAGAGTGACCATTGAACAACTTGTCAAAAAAATAAAAAATAGTCTGTGGGACTGGAAGTATAGCTCAGTGGTACATCATATGAGAAGCCCTGGGTTCAATCCCCCGCACTATGCCAAAAAAAAAAAAAAAAAAAAGTCTGATTTGAATGTACTAAAGAAAGAGGGAATGATCTAAAAAAAAGAGACAAACTCCATAGAATGCAGGGATACATGCTGACATGCTGGTTACCAGTAATGATCTGACTTCTGTAATCAAAAGAGGACTGCCCCTGTCACCTTATGAAACAGAAAAGAGAGGCACCTGAATCCCACTAACAGACCCAAGTGGTGGGAATATGAGGTTAAGGGGTCATTCCATAAGCTGGTCCTACCAAGCTGACCTTCATATGCAGGAGAAATGTGGATCCAAAATGCCCATAAGAAGAGCAGAAGTTACTCTGAAGGGGGGACTTTTGTGACCCTTACACAGACCAGGTTTCAGAAGTCAGGGAGAGGCCTGGGGTTGTGGCTCAGAGGTAGAGCACTCACCTAGCACGAGTGAGGCCCTGGGTTCAATCCTCAGCACCACATAAAAATAAATAAATAAAGATATTGTGTCCAACTACAACTAAAAAAATAAATATTAAAAGAAAAGAAGTCAGGGAGATATATCTAGAGGACCCAATTAGAACTGTGACCAGCATGGGCCAAAATGACCTCACATTGCCCTGGAGCTTTACCATGCACAGTGAGGACTTAGAAGACTGATATGATTCTGTTGTCAGTCAGAAGTCAAGAGGATAGACAAGGGTGGGACTCTCTGGAAACTCTCCTTGGACCCTCAATGAAACTAGAGGAAAGGAGGGGCATTTTGTTTGTCTCCTCTCTGAGAGGACACACACTCTGCTTGAGAGTGTCCCCTTTTCCTATCCCTTCAATGAAAGTATGCCTAGTACTCTCGAGAGACATCTCTGAAATCTTTCTGATGTGATTGAAAGAGCCAGCAAGAAAGGACCACTCTAGTGGCCTCAGCTCTACAGTGGGAACTTGCCCTGTAACATCACCACGAAAAACTATGGCAAACACATTTAATTTAGCTTCAAAACTGGAGTCATTTTCCATGGAGCACCAGGGAGCTGTTGATGTTGGCTAAATGGCAATATCAACAGCACACACAAATAGGATAGGACGAAAAAGAAATGGCAGCAGAAAGCCCACTGAGCTGCATCCTCTGAAACTGGTCTGCACCTGTTTCATCAGCCCTGAGGGCTGGCCTGGCCATCAGTGGGAGAAGGAGAAAGAGCAGGGTTTGGTTCCCTAGAGGTTCTTCCCCTTCAGCTCCTTCTGGATAGACCTTAACACCTCTCCACTCCTTGACTTTCCTCAAGGTGAAATGAAGATCACTGAAGCCTACAGCAAAACCTGTGTGGTCTGGAAAATGCTCTGCAATCCTTATTTAAAACAAAAAAAACAAAAAGCTGCTATTTAAATTCAAGGGTGCAATAATAGAAGTAAGAGAAGGCAAAAGTAACTAATTCAACCTTTAAGAAAAGGGCTAACTCTGGCCACATGACAAGAAGCTCAGTATCACTAAAAAAAAGGAAATGCAAACCAAAACCACAATGAGTTACCCCTCACATCCATAAAGATGGCTGCTATCAAAAACACAGAAGGTACCAAGTATTGGTGAAGATGTGGAGAATCTGGAACCCTTGTTCTTGGTGGCAATGTAAAATGGTATAACTGTCAACAGAAAACAGTACAGAGGTCCTCAAGAAATGAAAAAATAAAATTATTGAATGATCCTGTAATTCCACTTCTGGGTATATACTTTCCAAAGAACTGAAAGCCAGGTATTCAAGAGAAAATTATACGCCCAGGCTCAAAGCAGCATTATTCACAAAAGCCAAAGGGAGAAGCAACCCAAGCGTTCAAGGATAGGTGAATAAATAAGCAAATGGTAGTATATACACACAGTATATAATGGAAAGAAACTCTAACACATACTACAACTTGAAGATTAGTGAAGTGAGCCAGATGCAAAATGCCAAATTATACGATTTTGTTTTTAGAGGGTAACTAGAATAGTCAAGTTCAAAGAGACAGAAAGTAGAATGATGGCTGCTAGGCGCTAGGGGACAGAGGTGTGGAATTAGTGCTAACTAGGTACAGAGTTTCAGTTGTGCAAGATGAAAATGATTCTGGAGATGGGTGGTGTTGATGTTTGCACAACAGTGTAAAAGTACTCAATGCCACTGAATTGGTCTTAAACATTGTTCAGATGGTAAATCATAGGAAAAATTGAAGGAAAAAAGTGAACAGCTAACTCAAGCCTGTTTTTCTACTAAGGAAAAAAAAAAAAATCTTTGAGAGGTGGGGAGAATAATGACAAAGAGACCATAGGTCCTCCATATAAAAACAACACCATGCATCTTGAAACTTTTCAAATTCCAGGCTCAACCACAAAACAGTTTAACCACCACACATGCACCTCCAGGAGCTACAGGAAGCTAGTTACTTACCTCACTGAGGTAAATAAAAAAAGAGCAGGTGGACCCATCCACTCCATAGTCTGCGTAGCAGGGATCTGAGCGCCACATATCTTTCATCCACTGAAATGACAAGAACACACATGAACACCTTTCAGCTCTCCATTCCTTGGGCTCCTACCCATCTGCTGAGAGAAGGAGGGGGTATAAAGGGTGATAACAGGGTGAATGGTTCAAACCATAGCTTAACAACAGAGCAAGGGGACTGCTGAGCCAAGATGACCAGATGTTCAACACCTGGAGCACCCACAGGAAGACACTGGCTTCAGCTAGGCCACAGCTGGGGCAATTAGTGTAGAGTGAGGCCAGGAGAGGCCATGCCTAGCAGAGTTTTATCAAGGCCAAGTGCACATCTTCTGGAAACTAGGGTTTCACCAGTGCCTGAAACACAGAGTTTGTGCAGGTGGGCCTGAGTGCAATTTGGGCATCGGGGAAGCACCTGCTCCAAAGGAGACCAGCAAGTGCTTGACAGGTTGGTCTCACAGTCATAACTGCAGACCTAAACTGAAACTTCTCCCTGAAAGCTACTGGGCAGGCTATACAATTTTCTTTTTAACTATAGACTTTATGTTTTAGAGCAGTTTTAGGTTCACAGCAAAAGTGAGTGGATGGGTACAGAGCTTCTATGCACCCTTCTCCCCAACACACCACTCCCATCAATATCCTACATCAGAGTGTTACATTTGCTATAATCAGTGACCTACATGAACACATCAATATCAACTCAAGACCACCATCCACATTAGGCTTCACCTTTGGTGTTGTACATTCCATAGCTTTAGATAAATGTATTATAGCATGCATCCACCGTGAAATTATCAACGGGATAGTTCATTGCCTAAATAATCCCTTCTGCTTTACCTCATGTCTCCCACCCCGCAACCCCCTGGCACTAATCTCTTCACTGTCGCTATGGATTTTTAAAAAAATGTAACATTGGGCTGGGGCTGCAGGTTGGTGTTAGAGAATGTGCTTAGCATACATGAGGCATGGGTTGATCCCCAGCACCAAAAAATAAAAAATGATAACTCTGAAAGAGTGGCCAAGTATCTCTGGGTACTCACCACAAATGCAAATGTGGCACCAAAACTGCAGCCTGGATTAAATGATCAGGAGCCTTGGACTAATGCAGCAGGGGAGTGGGGGTAGGGGGCAGGTGGACACTAAGTAACCCTCACAGGAGCACCCACCCACTAGAGGCTGGGAAAGAAAGCAGCGTTATGGCAGGCACCCAAAGCAGTCCAGGCTCTTCCAGTGTGACCATGGAAGGTCAATGTTGACTAACTCCATTAGGTTGGCATAAGCAGAGAAGGGTCATGATGGCCACAATGCAACGCTGAAGGATGGAGGCACCCCTTAAATAACTCACTTCCAGGGCTCACTCACTCATTTGTATCTATGGGGGGGGGGGGGGGAAGATTGAGGATGATGGAAATGAGCAGGTGATGCTTCAGCCTTACCTTGATCTTCCCCTCGCAGTGGGGGTAGCCATCCATAGGAGGCAATACACATTTTTCTTGAGCTCCATTAATGATATCTAAAAAAAATGGAAAACAACAAAGGATACCATCAAGTCCACAAAATATACATGCCTAACATACTTGTCAGCAGAGAGACAGGAAGAGAAACCAAAATAAGAGATGCCCATCATGGCAGCCAGGTTCTGACCCATAGAACCTCACCAGCTCCAAACATGTTTGATTGGTCTGTGGTGAGGACCTGACTCCAGGAGACCCCACCTACAAGATGATGACTTCTGACTGGTGTGCCTTGGCTCAAAACGGTGAGTAGGCTGACCAGTGTGCTTGCTTAGAAATTTGCAAGTGAGAAACAGAGAACCAAATGAATGGGGAGCAGGAAATAAAGCCATGAGATTAAGAGTGCCTGCCAGGGCTGGGGAGGGGGGGCATCCGAGGCCACACGGGCAAAGTGAGATCATGCAAAAACTTCATGCAGTCATGTGTATGAGCTCAAGAAACCAACAGGAGAAAGAAGGGCAAATAGAACTTGGGTGCAGAGGAGCACAGAGGCACAAAACACCTGTGCCATCTTGAGGAATTCCCACTGTGGTTCCAATAGGGACAGCTCCTTACAGATATTAGATTTCCGCCAGGATTTCTTTATTGCTTTATATATTTTCTCACCACAAATCCCATTTATAGTAACTAGTACAAGTGGATTCCTCTTCCTGGTAACTATAGAATCAAAACTGAAAAAAAGAGCGGCATTCTTACAAGAAGCTTACAGTCTAAGGAGGAACAGTGAACAAGCAACTGAATGGTATAGCTGACATGATTCAGGACTGGGCAAGGGAGGAGACCCAACTCAATTTCCAAAGCTCAGAGGAGGCCTCCCAGATCCAACACTAACTTAGCTGAGATGGGAGGACAATGTGGGAATGAGCCAGACAATTTAAAGATGTCTTTCAAAGTCCTGAGGTGGGTCCAAATGCAGAAACCTACTTAGGCTGGAAGGAAAATGTGTGAGGTACTGAGAGGTGAGACAGATGAGACAGGCAGCGCCCACACAGGAAAGACCTCAAATGCCACGACAAGGACTTTGGTCTTTTCCTCAAAGAACAGCAGAGCAATAAATAGTGAAAGGTTTTAAGAAGTGGATAGTTATAAACAGATTTTTCTATAGCAATGATCATGCTGGTTGGAAATCTGGACAACTCTATCTGCTTCATTCTCATTTTGTATCTGTATTTTCCAGGAAGATTTGGAAAATGTCACCCTTATTTACTACCAGTGGTTTTCTAAATAAAGGACTAGTCAGAAATCAGATCCCAAATTGCAACATTATTTGATAAGTAATACCTTGGTGGTTATTGGGACTAAAAGAAGTTAGCCCTACAGAGGATCTTAGCTGTATCTAATCCTCAAAAGCCACATCTTTCGAAAGTCTGCAACAGAAATTCATGACTTCTTGATCCAGCATTTCACTGGGACATCTCCACAGGAAGAAACACCCTCCTTATCAGGCATCAGAGGCAGCATCTGCTGGCAGTCAAAATGAAGTTACCTAGATTGTCGGGGCCTCTGTTTTGTTATCTATAAAATGGGAATGGCTGTTGCTCTATTTCTTCTAGCTCTTACTAGTCAAGAGTTCACCCTGGCTCAGCCACTTTTAGAAATGCATTCTTTGTGTTTCTTCATGCTTTAGGTGGCAGCTCTGCCTGCAGCTTCCCTCTCCCACTTGCTAGGGCACAAAAGTCACTAAAGCATGGGCTGCTGCATCAATGAATACAGAGTACTTCCCAATGACTGTGACTCCTATCAGTGTTGAAAATCCTGGTTTTGCTGGGCAACACTTACCAAGCCGCTAAACAGTAGCAGAGGTCCTGAGAAATTAGGAGTCTCCAACAGTTGCAGGATGGGGTGATCAAATGTTTTAGGGAAGAATATAGAGTGAAATGCCCAGCCCCCTACCTCCACTACAGACACTATTCTACTTCCAGAGTGTTTAGAGACCAGAGGCTCCTGACTTGAGTGGCAGGTAGGGTGGGGTGAAGCAAATTCATTAGATGGTCCAGGAAGTAGAGCCCTGGTGTTGGACTATGGGTAATCTTATTCAGAGTTTCAAAAATATGTTATGGCCAAGGTCACTAAACTTTTTCTAAAACACACCAGGTAGTAAGTATATAGGCAATGTGCCACACAGTCTCACAAAAGAATGGGTGGGGCCACAATCTAATATAACTTTATTTACAGAATCAGATACAGACCCTTGGGTCTGCTCTGCTAGGAGACTCCCCAAATGAGATTCCTCCTTTCTGTGAAGACCTGCTGAACTGACTCCTTCCCCAGTACTACGGACAAAATACTCAGGGGAACTTTACCACTAAGCTTCGGTCCCAGCCCTTTCTATTTTGAGACAGGGTCTCCTTAAGTTGCTTAGGCTGGCCTCAAACTTGTGATCTTTCTGCCTCAGCTTCTCAGGACACTAGGATGACTGGTGTGCACCTTACATGGCCTGAAGCCAATCCTTCTAAGGAGCCCTGCAGGAATTCCTCTGCATCTTCTGTTCTCCGCCCACCCACTGGAGGCCCCCTTCCTTTATATAGAACTCAACCAGGGCTTGCCTCCCTGAAAACACAGTCCTCCACCTGACCTTCTTATGCCCGATTGGGTTTAGTTGGATTTGGCCTTGCCCTCCTTTGGGCTTCCCTGGACTCCTGTGTACACCTCTCCACCACCATCTGTTATTCTCTTTATATCTGTTCAACTCCTGTCCCAGGGCATGAGGAACACATGAGAAGGTAATGTCTTTTTGCTGGGTCACCAGGCACTCAGTGAATGCTGTTTGAATGAATGCAGGCAGGTTCCCGTCTGCCCCTCGATCTGACTCCTAGTCTGGGGAGGAGACTCCTGCTAGGCCACAGTTTTTACTCTTCCTCTTGACAGTTTATCAACAAATCTAACAGGGACTCCTCTGTGATTCTATTACCTTATAGATGAATTTCCTGTCCCTTATTTTGTGACACAGTGATGGTTCTGAATACACAATTGGTTTCCAAAGGCTCTAATGTGCTCCAGGTTGTGGGGTGGGCAATAAACAGAAGTTCCAGCCTTCCACTATGGGGCAGAGCTGCTCCCTGAATCCGACCAAGGGCAGAACCCTCCAGCTCCTGAGGACTCTGGGCTCTTTTTCAGAGGACAGCTCCCCATTGTGTTTCCATCACAATGAAAAAAAAACTCAGTAAATGTTTTTATTAGTTTGTACTCATGGAGAACTTTCCAACCTGTGGAAGAGTCTGTGATCTGAGTGTGGCTAAGAAACAAAATCTTAGTCTAGTAAAGGTTAATGCTAATGCTTTTCAGGGGATGCCTGTGATTACTCTATACAAGGTCCCTTCAAAAGAGGGGGACAGACCCTGCTAAGATGTCACTAGAAAGTTTTCCCTGCCATTTACCCAAGTTCTCTCTCCTGCCATTTTTTTTCCCATATGATGAAAGGGCAAAGAAATACAAAGAGATGTTAACATAAGCAATGAGGCTCAGTTCTTAACTGTTGTTGAGGACTCAGTTTCATCTCTCACCTTCACAAAAGCCAAGCTACATCGTTGTGGTTCACCTAAAACTTCACCTCTGTACTAATTCTACAGAACTGTCAACCAGGTGTCAACAGAACAGGCAGATTACGTTGGTGTGAAAATTCCTCTGTTTTATACTGGTACCCACACAGTGTAGAAAGTGCTTGGGTACTGGGTTTAATCTAAGAGAACAAACACTTTATGTCATGCTTAGACTTGGGAAGAACACACAATACAGAGGCAGCGGTAGCAAATGGACGGGTCCACACACACAGATGGGTGCTCCTGTGAAGGGTAGGCAGCATCTCCTGACTGCCACACAGATGCAGCTACACTGGGAGACATGTGCACAGGGCAAGAGCAGCATAAACACACACTGACAGGAAACAATGACAGAGAACCAGATAGATTTTTTTTTTCACTCATGCTTTCCTTCCCATCTGAGGGCAGAAGGGAGGGAAGCAGGGAGTCAGGACAGGAATAAGGAGTAAAGAGGTTTTGAAGGAATGGAGGAGATGGAAATACTGTGATACAAGGCAGGAAGCCAAGGTGGATGGAGGACACTAACAGGCTTATGCAGCACTCGTCTTTCTGGAGTGTTGTCGCATACCTGATCACATTTTAAACAAGGGAGAGATGGTGACCTCATCTTATAGATGGGAAAGGAGAATGTTTAAAATCCTCAGCACCAACCTCCAAACTCAGCCCAGTCAATGTGAACCTGCTGCCTGCTGTGTGCTGAAATGGGTCCTTCTGAAACACAGTCTGCACCTTCTAGGAGGTAACCACGTGTGTGGAGGAAGGGACCTTGTGTGGCATGTGGAAGGAGGGGTCCCATGGGGGGATATGGGAAGAGGGACCCCTGTGTGGGAGGTGGGGACCCATGCAACAGTAAAAGAGGTAACTGTCATCCTCCTGTGTTGGGGGGGGAGGGGGAGTGGGCAGGATTTTTGTCCAGGGGTCCAAACTCCACAGGCTTTTTCAAACAACTGAATGAACAAATGTAAAAAGGAGTAAAGAGCCCAAGTTCCCATGAAATGGAGAGGAACGTATCACAGAGAAACAAGGGACCGGAAATCCTCCCTCCTAATCACTGACCCAGCAACTCTGAGTTGTGGGCCACAGCCTAGGGAACCTGGGCTCAAAATGAGGCAAACAGCAGGGGGAAAAGGCCCTTTTCTGCTGGGAGACGAGATGTGGATTGCTGATATTTAAAGCTTCTTGGAATTTAAAAAGAGGGCTTGTGGTTTCTTGATATGATCTTAATGAATCATTTGTTAACTGTCCTGATGCTTTTACAAGTCATACGCAAGGTTCATCAGGTACCATACAATTGATCTCTTAACTACCCCGTTTGATTATATATATATATATATATATATATATATATATATATATATATATATATATATATAAATAAACATTTTTTTTTAAGACATCAACTCTCAACTACGCAGCATAGTTAAAACATCTACTGCACACTGAAGTTAATGATAACTAGT